GCTAGTTTGGACAAAAATCAACACGAGCTGACTTCGCTAACTATTTCTGCATTTTGTGTTTCTTTGAAAGGGCAAATATTTTAGAACTGAATACATGAAACTAATAATTCATATTAATCTAGACAGATTGTCAACTTTTGGCACTATCATTTCAAACTAAAAATTAAAAATAATTTGATTTATACATAAAACAACATTTCCTACTCCAATAATTAATACGCAAAAAATATAAACGATGGTGGTAAGGCACGTCAATGATGCACAATTGTACTGATCATATAACTAAAATTTGATGCCATAGAAACCCAAAGTCTGTTTTGTCAAATGATTTTTTATCAAAACATAAAAATATAGTTTTTACTAATGATATTATATGAAACATCTATTTTATGAAATAAAGCCTCAATTAAAATTGAATTACTTATCTCTAATATATATTTAGTAAATTGTTATGATTATTCTCAAGTAGGTACAAAGACAAAATAATACTTTGTGCTAGGAGCCGTCAGTTATATTTTAGATATAAAAGGATATATCTCAGCCACATTCAAAATGAAAATTTAACTTCTGTTGTATAACAACGCTTAGATTTGCTTTTGTAAGAATACCAAACAGTTGTATTGGGATTTACGATATGTGAACTTTAGCGTTATATTTTTGGATTTTAATATCTACGTTAAGATGTTGCACTTAAGAACAATCTCTCTCTAAGTATCCTCACTTCTTGCCTTGACTCGATGAAATTTTCATTATCTTTACACAAACGCTTCCTCGTTCGAGCTTTTAACGCTGCCTAATCAAATTAATAGTCTTTTGAAATGCTCTTTCTGGGGATAATAAGAAAGCTTCCCCCTCTGCTATTAGTAGACTGTATAAGGTAATTTGTTCCTCAGTTTAATTTTTATTACACGAATAAAGAAAGTCTTAAAGGAAAGGAAATATCAATAATTAATTAATTACGTTAGTGGAGAATTACTAACTTGATCAAATAGTTTACTTACATATATTTTTATCAAATCTGGAAGCTTTTAAAAAATATTCAACACAAATTTTCATCAGAAACTTATTAATCAAGTTTATAGAGAACTTTAAAATAGGCCAAACAGTTATTTACAGACATTTTAAACAAATTTGAAATTAATTTTTAAAAATCAAACGCAAAATTTCATAAAAAAATGCCTATTGCAATTTTTGGAGACTATTGAATACAATATAAAAACGATTATAGTTTTCTTCACAAACTGTAGCAGGCTAACAGCGCTTTGTTCCATAATTAACATTTTCTCGAGCCACTCTGTAAAGCAACAACATCCACTTCTCACAATGAACTGAAACAGTACAGAGGAAGACCGAGGCGCACAAGAATTATGAACTTCACATCCGCATGACACGCAAATCAAAATTAATGCCCCGACTCTCGCTTGGCTTGTTCCAACGTCCGAATATGCGGGGATTCCTAGGATTTTAATAAACCTACCACTAAATTAACAAACGGTTTTACTTGCTCATTAGCCATTGATTTTTCCGTAATGGCTTTTGAATTATTTTCTACACAATGGTTTATGTACTGGAAATGGGCTTGTATAGATTTAAATGTTCTTTGTTGGGACATGCAAATCGATACAGGCAGCGCCATCTAGTGTTATGAAGCCGAACTGGTTCGGGCACTGAATGAAATCTGAAAGAGCGCTTTCATGCTGGCAAATTATATTTTGCTACAACTCCGCAATCATTAAAAAAAACAAGTATTAACCATTTTATCGTTTGAATATCATAAATTAGCAAAGTAGATATTATTTACTTCCATAAGTAATGAAATATTTTCATTGAAATCAATAATCAGTTTTTTTATTATGATATAAAATAATATAGTGATAAATACATTTTAATTTTTTAGAACTTTTTTTTTAATAGCGTTAATAATTAGAATTCCGACAAATTATTTTTATCAAAGAAAATAATATTAATTAAGAGACTTAAGAAGAAAAATTGAATCCTATGCAACCAGTTATACATGTAGGTCAGGTCAGCTTTCAGTTATGGTTAGATCCAAAGAGCGACCACAAAAAAAATGTGATTTTCGCCCGTTTTTTCGCAATTCGCAGAGAATTAAAAAAAAATACATAAAAATATGTTTTTGGTCGCAAATTACTTGTCGTAACAAACTGAAATGAGCATAACTTTTAGTATTTTGAACAATTTTAAAAATCACCCCTCCTTAGGGGTTGAAAACATGCCAAAAATGAAGAATTTGAATATTGCCAATTGATATAAAAACTATTAGCATGTAAATTATCTTAATACATTTTTTTTGGAAATTTTATTGGAATACAATTATTTCTGATATTCCCTATTTATGGGGATGATTCCACCCCCTGAGCGCGCTTAAGGGTGGATTTTCTAATTCAACATGCTTATTTCAGTCATGATCTTTCTTTGTATTAAGAATCATTCGATAAAAAAATTCACATGCAAATAGTTTTTACATTTATTGGTAATATTCAATTCTTCATTTTCGGCGTCATTTTAACCCCTAACTAGGGGTGATTTTTGAAAATTTTCAAAAAACTAAAAGCTATGCTCATCTTATTTTTTTACGACGAGTAATTTGAGACCAAAAACATATTTTTATCTATTTTCTCTGCGAATTGTGAAAAAACGGGCTTCATTTATTTATTTAATAATAGTAAAATAATTCCGAAATTGAAATTTGAATTAATATTTCGTTTAACAATAATTTTTGTGACATTTTTGCAAATTAAAAAAAAATTAAGTATAAAAGATGCATTTTTTCTGGGGTTCAGGGCTATTCTACGAATTCGTAAATATGCCCATTGTTATTTTTTCGTCGAGCTAACCCATTTAAAAAAAAATAAGTTTCTACGATGAATAGAAGCCGAGATATTGCAAAATTTACAGCGCGCACTTATTTGAACTTTGGATTTAACTTTTCTCGCCCGCGCGACCGCTTGGACGAGCTTCCCCCACCACCACGCCGCCGGCCGCCGGACAGTTTACTTAGCGAGTACCTTCTCTTTAAAGGGCTCGTGAGTCGTTAATTTTCCACATTTTTCAATGCAATTCACGGGAAATCGTAGTTTACGTCGTAAACTTTATTTTGCGAAAAATTCAAGTCTTAATATTTATAAACAATTGCGCTACGATTTAAAAAAAAATTCTTATCTTGGCTCCTGTTGGTCGTAGAGGGTACTTTTTTTATTTTAAAACTGTATTTTTTTGCCAGCTATCCATTGCATCTATTTTCGGTGAGATAGCATAAATAGCAACAATGTTATTCAAATTGTTTATAAGCGAAAAACGCACGGTTTTTTAATGCACAATTTGAGAATGTTAATGTCAAAAAAACGGTGATATTTTTTAATAGGTCGCTTAATTACGTCTTTAAGATTACAATGACGCTTTCAGAATCATGTTTGGTTGAAAATTAACGCCTGTACAGAGGCTTAAAGTTCATAACTTTTGGAGCCTCCGCTATAAACAAATAGAATTGTGCGAAAACTATTGCACCTACAGCGCCCACTTTTGGCACACTTTTAAAGTATGACAAAACCCTCAACTTGTCATAGGTTTTATAAAATTTTAACAATAAATGCGATAGTTATAAACAAATTAAAAAATGGGCACTTTTGTTTTTTTTTTTTGCAATAACTTTTTTGTTTATTAATCGATTTTAATTTAACAAATCTCATTTTATAGATAATTGTATTCCCTACAAGCTGTCTGTTAGTCACTTTTCGCTTAAATGGATGGTTTTCCCTGCAAAGTGAAAAAACTGTTTTCCTCACTTATTTATTTAAATAGAAAAGTTAGCTAATAAATGTTTTTGACTCACGTTATGAGAGATGTCTTGTATTATGTCCCTTTAGACAATTTTACAATAATCTCGCGGATAGGACTTTTTTCGAGTAAAAACTTTATTTGCTTGGCCTAAATAGTATACGCTGAATGTAGACAAAATGCTGTAAGCGCAGAAATAATGTACGCGAATTGTTTTCTATTTTATGATGCATCACGTGTTGCAAGATTTGTAATACTCGTGTACCTGATACTGATCAATTGCAACCCCAACACTAACCATATGTCACGTGAAAATACCACGTGTCATTCCCTCCCGGTTCCAGCAGTTCTCAATATGTTCATACTTAATTGTAAAGTCAATGTTGATTTTTTACTTTGTCTCATCATGTGGTTTAAAGTAACAAGATAGTAAGAATCTATAAGTATCAGAAGCACTTTATAAAAAATATATAGTGATGACTGGTGGCCAGTTATTTTTAAAATATGCAACTTACCAGACAGAATATGACACTTTTGGTTATCAGTCATTTTCAAATTTCAAAATTATGTTTAATATTTGATTTGATGCTTTGTCATGTTTATTGCAAATAAATCGTTTATAACATAATAACTGCTTGCTTATTCTGGATTCATACCGAATTTTAGAGAAATTATATTGAGCGTACTTTTAGTCCGTTACTTCAAACATTTTAATATCCACGCGAAATGTTACTTTTGACCATATTTAGCAAAGAAAAATATTGACCGACATAAAAATATAAATATTAACGGAATTATTGAAATATTGAAAAAATCGTTCGATGGTCATCTTCGACATTTATTTATAGTCATCATCAGTTTGGTAATATTTAGTAACTCCTATTAACAAAAAAAAATAAACGTCTGTTTAGCGAAAATTATTCAGCACATTTTTAACAAACTTTTAGTTTTTCCCAATCTATTATTATTTGTCTTTTTACCGTGAAAACTAAAAATTCACCAATAAGGCAATAAATCAAGTAAAAGTAAAAGTCACTGAATAAATGTCTTCCAGATAAGAAACACGACCACGAAGTTTGCAGCTTTAACCTAATTATTTTTTGCTTCATATTGATCCAGCGGCTTCTAAACTTAGCCTATAACCGTGGATAGAAAATCACTTCCATCGCAAAAGAAATACGCAGAAAAATATAAGCACTTACCGGTATTCGGCGAAGTCATAAGTATGGATAAGGGACACTCATCGTCGTCCAAGACGTACTCGGTATCGGGACACCCAGGCTGTTGGGTGACCTGGACAAGGCACCATTGGGAAGGGTCCGTTTTGGTCAGTCCGTACTTGTCTAGCATCTCTCTGACCACGGCACCCGCACAGTCGCGGACGGACAGAAGGAGTGTCTTGTAAGGCACGTCTTTGCAAAGGGCTTCGCCGTATATTTTCAAGGTCCCGCCTGAAAAGAAAACACGCAACGCGAGCGTTAAATTGAGGATCAGTCGCTGAAGTGACATTCGTCAAAAGACATAATTCAATTAACATCAAAAACAATAACTTTGGCTACAAGTCTGCTGATTAGAAGGGAACAAATAACAGGACATTTAACTGTTGAGATTTTTCATCATAAATAGCTGTTAAGAATTTCTACAAGAGAAAAAGTAAGGTTATGTAGAATCATCTACCTACTGAAGTGACGTCAATACCACAGTCTCTTGAAGAAAGTCATAACAATATACATATATGTTTCATTCTTAAGGGTGTCTTGTTAATATTGAAACTGCTGATCATAAAGGAAGATGCGGTAATAATATATTTAAAAAAAAAATACAAGGTACTAATTACTTAATAGGTACTTTGTTACTGGAAAATATCAGATATACCTAGTTAAATTTCTATCAAGAGTAGTTACCTTAAGTAAAATTCTATACAGAGTATCCATAAAACGTTGTGCTATCTCGCTGATATGGGTAGTCCTTACAAAAATAATGTCACAAGCTTATAGCATTATTTTGAATTATTAGCTCTTGAATTGAAAATTGGAAAGTTATTTTTGATAGTAACTTTCTTGTTTCTCAATAATTTAAAATAATTTTTGAGTTAAAGTTATATAATTTGAAGATATTATTCGAAACGTATTTAATTTTCCGGTAGTGTGGGGGCTCAAAGGCAAAGCGCCCTCGGTAATCTTATCGGTAAATTTTCAAAATAGTATGCCTATACCCTATAAATAAACTGCCGAAACCACTCTGCACACAGACCATAAAGTAGCTACAAGTACATAAATTGAACAAATTAAAAATTACTACAAATGATTGCTTCCACCCAGAAACTATTCAAGTTTTATGAAAAACGAAAAAGTTGTAATGAAAAACCCGAGGAAAAATCGATTTTTTTTTTTAAAGATAAGAGCTATGTCTACAGGGTGAGACCGAAAAAAATGTATGTAAACTTTTAACGGTATTTTTGCGAGTCCCACTCAAATCCAACAGATTATCCACCATGTCGTGGACATCCTGTGTTGAATTTTACCTAAGGACGCGACTCCTGTCAGAAACTCAACCATATATGATATTTTACAACTACACAATAGCTACTAAAGAAATAGTAACTCGTCAAATGATTTAGATAATTATATATTACACAAGGTGCCCGTTTTTCGAACCGCATCTCGGTTATCCTAAGAGATACAAGGTCGAGGGAGTTAGTGCAAAGCTGCGGAGTTTGATTAACATGGATTTTTTTCTTACGATCATCTTATTGCAATTTTGCATTTTCGATTTCAACGCATGTTTCTAATTGCGATGGTATATCATATGACATGGTTTACTGTCTTGTTTTCGTCAAAATATCAAATTATCCAGTTTCAGTGCTTTAAAAACGAAATTCTGACAATTCAGTTAAATTTTTATTAACAATGTTAAAGTTCAGATAACTAAAAATGCAATTTTTACATGAAAGAAAGCCAGATATTCCTCAACTTAATTAATCAAGAGTTTGAAGCATATATCGCTCTATATGGATGTTTTTTTTTTCTCTGTAAAATTGTATTTTGACAAAAAAAAGCAAACCATGTCTAACACATCTAACATCTAAAATAGTGGTAAGAAAAACAAAATTTGCGCTACAGCTAATAAATGGCTCCATTATGGCTCTTGTTTTTGATATCCTTGATGGATGAATGTAAGGTATTATTGTAACATGTTATTAGGAGTTGAATTGTTTGTAAGACAAAAGAAGTTGAAATTATTACCACGTCTGCAATTCTGCAACTAAATAACTTAAAAGACATCTGTCAAGTAGATTGTCAACTACAACAAGCGAAATTTCTACAAAATACATCATCAAGTAATTTGAAATGAAATATTTTGTAATTTTTTTACACAAAATGATGGAGGTTGTCATTATATGCAAATATTTAGAAAAAAAATAAGAAACTTCCCCTTTTGTTATTTCAATTTGAAAGGGTATAAAGAAGAGTGAATTAATTACAAAACTATGTGAAGTTGCTGGTACAGTCTTTCCGATCTCAACTGACGACCACAGAGCTAGGCATTCGGTCGCTACGCATCAACTCGGAATTGAAATATTTGAAAAACTTGTTCCCATATTTATTTAGCCATACCCATATACAGGTCTGGTCGAACTAAATGTGGTGGTGGTTGAAATGTATACGCCCAGTTGAAGAATGCGCGCGCGAGCAAACGACGCACAAACACAGCCGCACTGGGCGACTGAAATATCAGTTGTTGACACATTGTCTAGCAGTGTAGTGCAGCAATGCGGAATTATTTTATTGTTGATTACTTTTGTTTAATAACTTTTCTAACTTAAATTAACAACCTTTCCTCATCCTTTTCTGGCAAGGATATGTTCATACCTTTCCGTTGGTTCTTGCCGAGCAGTAATATATTTTAATGAAAATGTAAATGTTTTTTGATATGTCATAACTAAAATTTACCATCAATAAAATTGTTAGACATAAATAATTAAAATATGTTGTTGGCCAAACGAACATATAACAGTTTTCTATACATTATATACAAATTATTATAATTTTTTACCTTTAGCAGAAAACTTTTTTAGGGACGCCTATGACTCTCCCTATTTTTTATTGCTAGGCGTTCTTATACATCTTCAACTGACTTCGGAAAGACTATGCCGTTTGAATTTTTCGTTGGGACACCGTGTAAACTAATATTATGCGCCGTGTTTTAAAAATTTGACAAATCATATTTTTTTAATACATTAACTGCAATGTCCACCCTGTACTCTACGAAATGCAAATTTCATGTTAATTAAGTTATTTTCCAAGGCATTTAAATAACGTTTAAAGCGATTAGTTACATAAATATTCCAGGAGTTCAATTATTGATCGAATTATTATGTTAATGTAAACATTAGCGACAGAAATATTACATAGTTATAGCGACATGATTGTCGAATAACTACCCTTGATAGTTACCTGCCACTCAAAAGGGGTTCTTTGTTTATTTATTTAGGGGACCCTAAATTAATTTGAAAGTGTATTTTAGAACGTTGTTTTTTATTCAATGCGATGTTTATTCCATTAGGACGTGTTCTAAAAATATTTCTGTACTATTTGATGATCACCGAAAGTTAAAATTATAGAAATAAATGAAAGTACACCTCCTATAGCTGTTCAATTACGGGATACATTCTCATATTCCAAAGTGGTTCGATATAATGGAATTCTTATCAATGCCAATTCTTCACAACCAACGCCAGTAAATATCAAACAAATGAATTAATTACATAATTCTAGAGTTGTGGGAAACTGTGAACTTTTATGCAATGATAATGAATGAAACATCAAAATTAACGAACCTGAAATTATTCATGTATATAAATATCTAGTAATTACTCAGAAGGATTTATCACATAAATTCACATAATTAAAGAACGGTCTGCATCCTCTTTATCTTGATTAACTCGCACAGACTTGTATTCCTAACGTTTAAGTGATATTTCTCACTTTCACCTCTCCACATCAATATTAATGTTAATTCTCTTATTTCCTAACGCAATGAAATACTTTTTTTTACTTAAGGTGGCCATATTCCTGGCCGAGAAATAGTGAAATTTCTGGCGTTTTTAGGTACTGAAATCTTTAAAAGTAAAACGTGTAGAACAAAAGTAAACACAAAAATAAAATCTTTGATGTTTTGTTTATTCATTGTTACCATTTAAATTTACCCAAATAAAATAATAACTAAAAAAAAAACGTTTGTAAAACATGCGTTTGCTGTTGTCCTAACCCCACATTTCAAGAATTATTTTCACGTACTTATAAATAAAAGTAAACAATTTTATATGTAGTACTAAGCAAGTAAATGTTATAAGAATATTTACATGTGGAATTAAATATAAAAAAGTTAGTATTTTCGTAGATTTCAGTACCTAAAACCTTGAGGGTTTGATCGTTTTTTGCACGTGTTTATTCGTTTTACTGCGGCGTCTTTGAAAATACTCAGGTGCATGACATAACATTCCTATTATTTCATAAGCTTTAGATTATTCAGTTATTAAATGTTTGAAATTATTTGTCTTTGCGGAAAACACTATTTAAAGAATATGGGGCCCTTAATTGAAAATTAAAGCGTATTACTGCATTAAAATTACACACCGATCTTTCACAGCACTGAGCGCTGTGTGAAAGAAGACACGGTGTATTATTATAGGAATACTTAATAAAAAACATACCAGTGTCGGGACCGCCGTCTTTAGACCTAAATTGTTGCAATTTCTTTTCCAGCTTTTGCTGCCGTCGTCTTCTCATAACTGCCTCCGGATTAGATATAGATCTCGTGAATGAAGTTTCTGGTAATTCTAAAATAAAACAAACAATGTTTATTAAAATATTACAAAGAAGTTTGGATGACAAAAACTCACCGTTATATAATTTTTCCGCCACCCCGTCCTTATCGTTAATATCACCGTTTTCGCTTTTCATTCTAGAGAGCTTTTCTTGTTTCTTCAACTGTTTTTTCTCTCGTTTCGATAATTTTCTTCTAAAACTAGCATTCGAGTCGATAGATCCTACTGATCCAACCTGAAGCAAAAGAGTATATCACGTAAACGCAAAAAGAAATACGTTTTTCCCGATTTAGAACGTTTTCACATTTTGTAAACGTTTTTTATATTTTGAATCTTCCATGACTTCAAAATTTTTTACATTTTGTAAGCGGTTGTCACATTTTATAAAAAAAAATTCACATTTTCAAATTTTCGTGTTTTCTAGAGTAGATTTAGTAAACGGTTTTTGAAACGTGTAAACGTTTTTTATATTCTCCAAATATGTGTTTACGTATTGCAAACGTTTCTTTACTTATTCAAGTTTTTGTAAACATTTTTGAGTTTTTGAAAACGGTTTGTCCCCTGTAAACGATTTTTTTACATTTTAAAAATGTGTTAACATTTTATAAACATTTTTACTACATTTCTTTATATCTACCCTACAATTTTTTTAACATTTCGTAATGGTTTAATTTTTTTAAAGTTGTAAACGTGTTTCTTACAGTTTCAAGCTATCAAAACATCTAAACATTTTTTTTCATTTTGAATCTCTCATGACATCAAAGCTATTTACATTTTGTATGCGGTCGTCACAAAGTGTTGACGTTTTCAAATTTTCATGCTTTCTAAACGTTGTCAAATTTTGTAAACGGTTTTTGAAATTTGTAAACGTTTTTTATACTTGGCAAATATTTTTTTATACATTGTACCCGTTTTTTTAGGTAATCAATTTTTTGTAAACCTTTTCACATTGTAAAATTTTTTAGTTTTTGTATCTTGTAAAAGATTTTTTACATTTTAAAAACGTGTTTACATTTTATAAACATTTTTTACATTTCTTTATATCTACGCTTGTATTTTTTTAACATTTCATAATGGTTTAATCTTTTTAAAGTTGTAAACGTATTTTTACATTTTGAATCTTTCAAAACTTCTAAACGTTTTTACATTTTGTAAACGTTTTTAATATTTTGAATCTTCCACGACTCCAAAGTTTTTTACATGTTGTAAGCAGTTGTAGCCATTTATAAAAAAAAATTACGTTTTTAAATTTTCGTGTTTCCTAAACGTTGTTAGATTTTGTAAACGGTTTTTGTATTTTCTAAACGTTTTTTATTTCGCAAATTACACTTTGTAAACGTTTTTTACTTGTTCAATTTTTTGTAAACATTTTTCACATTTTGATATTTTTGAATTTTTGTATCCTGTAAGAGATTTTTTACGTTTTAAAAACGTGTTTACATTTTATAAACTTTTTTCACATTTCTTTATATCGTCGCTTGTAATTTTTTTTGTTGAAAACCTAATTTTTACAGTTTGAAGCTTCTAAACGTTTTTACATGTTGAAACTGACTTTTACTTTTACTTACTTTTTTCAATTTTCACGTCATGTAAACGTTATATTTTGTATAGATATAAATTTTTAATTTTGGAAAACGTATTTTACATATCTTTTTACACTTTATATACAGTTTTAATGCATTATAAACATTGTTTACATTTTATTATCGTCTTTTACACTTTCTAAACGTTTTTTACATTATACAAAATATCTTACGTCGTGAAAATATTTTCCACGTCTGTCAACATTTTATACCTTTTGCAAATGTGTCCTTTTTTACACTTACCGTCTTATCGTCAATGTTCTTTAAAAGAAACCTGCCCTCCCTATCGTCCACGTGCCAGTTGAGCTGGACGAGGAGGGGTTTTTCGTCAGGGGCCATCTTTCGTTCTGGACAGCCCTCGTGGAGTTCGTAGAGCGCGTAGGAGGGTACGGAGAGCATCCTCATGTCCGGTCGGAACTTTTCCACCAGGGTGCCGATCACGTCCTCGACGGTGGCGTCGGACGCCACGCGGATGCACTTCGTGGCGACCTTCTGGCCGGAGTCTTGGAAATAGAAGCGCATGACGCCATGGAACTCCAAATCCTGAAAGAAGAAGACATGTTTTTGGTCTAGTATTTGTCAATTAAGATGTTTGAAATGAAATGCATACAAAAACATACCGGCATACCTGTAAAAGCGACCGACAATATATTTATTTCAGATTATTAGTTAACCCGGATTTTTGGTCAGTCTTATGGAATGAAAAAAAAACAACAATTTAAAACAATTTATTTATCGACGTTTCGCTGTTTTATTACATCTTCAGGACTCTACAGATAAATATTTTATTACAAAGGCAACAATTAAAATATACTAATTACATATTAATTTATTTTGCTATGCCTGGCCAATATTATTTTCCATTACAGTCTAAACAAGGTATACTATACAGTGTGTCCAAGAAAAAAATGGGATAGCATAGGATCTAGGAAACGGTAGAGATACGGTGTGGCTCAATTTAGAAAAAAGTTGTTAAATGTTTTTTTATATCAAACAATATACCGTTTAGAAAATTTTAAAATTCCGGGTGGTTCCGGAGTTTTCTGGAAAACCCGAAATTTTGAAAAATTGTTTTTCTGGCTTTATTTGAAAACGAATTTTAAAATAAATTGCGTATTTACAATGCCACTCCTTTAGCTCTATCCAATAGCGTCAACATTTTTGCAATCCGATGTTTCGTCTTCGAGGGGCCATCATCAGGTTCATTTTTTTAAATACACTGCTATTTTTATGACAAAATCTAGTCATTTTTAATTCTGAATTAGATGACATTACTATTGTAATCGCTTAAAAAGTTTTTAGCTTGTTTTAGTTATCATCTAAAAATTTTTCCTGAGTACGCCTCTGAACGTTTTCAAAATATCTATTGGAGGAGGTCATAACAGTATAAAAGACAATACAGCACAAATATCCAACAATTTTTTAACTACCTACTATTAGCAATACTAATTAGAAATAGAAATAATAAAACATTTCATAAATTCGTATTATTTTTTTATTAGGTACAACTTTTTTAAATTATTGATAAAAAAAATATTGGATATTATGTGCTATATTGAGTTTTATACTGTTATGACTTCCTCCAATAGATATTTTGAAAGCGTTCAGAGCCGTACTCAGGAAAAATTTTAAATGATAACTAATTGTAAAACAAGCTAAAAACCTTTTTAAATTAAATTTAAAACTAATATCATCTAATTCAGAATTAAAAATGACTAGATTTTGTCATAAAAATAACAGCGACGTATTTAAAAAAATGAACCAGATGATGGCCCCTCGAAGACGAACTGTCGGATTGCAAAAATGTTGACGCCATTGGATAGAGCTAAAGGAGTGGCATTGAAAATATGCAATTTATTTTAAAATTCGCTTTTAAATAAAGCCAGAAAAAAAATTAAACGATTGCAAAATTTCGTTTTCTTCCAGATATCTCCAGAACCACCGGGAACTTTAAAACTTTCTAAACGGCATATTGTTAGGTATAAAAAACCACAACTTTTTTAATAATTTGAGCCACCACGTATTTCTTACCGTTTCCTAGATCCTAATGCTATCCCATTCGTATCTTGGACACACTGTATACAAACATAAAATGTATTACTTTCAATCAAGTTCGAATGGAATTTTTTGTTTTAAAATGGTAATATTATTTTAATGTGTTTTCAATACTGAAAGTTATATGTATTTAATTATTACATTGTTCATATTTTTCCCGAAAAGCCATTAATATAAGAAATCTTAAAATATTTAATAATTTGTGATGTTAGGTCGTGTGTCTGAGTTATTTAAAAACAGTATTTTGCAAATAAATTCTATGGAATAATAACAATAATGTTTTAAACATTGACGATTTGTTTTTTCTTTCCATAAAATCCAGAGCAACTAACAATCTGAAATATTGTCTGCTGAATTCAGGAAATAATAAATATATATTTTAGTTTATATCTCTGAAAATAAAGAAGATGTAAGCACACCGAGATTTCAAGTTTCTCGTACCCGATTTATTATGACGTAATATTCGAAAAAAAAATTACTCCTGTTGGCGGAATTGGTTTAGCAAGCAATATTAGAAAACCCTGAAAAAAACGGGAATGTTTATTTGGTCAACTAAAAATTCTGGAAATGATCGCCTTACATTAATTTTACAAGAAATCTTAGGAACAGAAGAAAGAACGAATTTTATTTGGCAACTGAAAATTTAAAAAAATACATTCTACGCCAATTTGATGCCAGTAGATGTAGGGCATTGTAATTTCTTGTTGAGAATTTTCGTCCTTATCTCGAAAAGTAAACGAGATACGAGCAAATCGGGAATATTTTAGACATTTTCTTACCCGACATATTCCGAAACAATATATTCGTAATATTTTGTTTTTAATACATCCCAAAATTGTAATGCATCCTAGATACTTTTTACAGTTTTTATTTCCTCGGATATTTCTATTTCTATTTTGTTATACAAAACTCAAATTGATTTAAAGTCAAAAGTGAGTTTAAAAAGTCGCACATTTTATTTAAATCAATTTAAGTTTAAGAACGCAAAAAAGAGTTTTTCGTCATAGTGATTATCGTGTGGTCGTAAGAATTAACTACAGCCCGTACGAATTTATTGAGATAAAATTTCAAGGCACGCCGGCAAATCGTTACAGTAGTTCCGATAACAGAACTTATTTATTTTTATTATTTTTTATTTATTATTATTTATTTATATTTTATTATTATTTTCTTATTTTTTTCTTGAAATTCTGTTCATAGAACTTTTAATTACATTTTTACCGTTATAATTGACAATCTGTCTTTTTCTTGTGCCCATAATTCTTTTTCGGATTATTTTTTCACTGATTATGGCAGATGTGCTGGCGCATAACATTATTCATACACACCCACCAGGACGCCATATGAAAGAGTTCAACTGCAATGTCAACAGCTCCAATCATTCATAAATTGCTACTAATTCACCAGTAACTATTTAAGCAATAAAAGTTTTCATCTTCGCCGCAGCCTGGACAGAACCGGACTGCGCAGAATTAAAAAAACCTGGATAGGTTAAAATAAATCTACTTCTTCACTTTGACAGAATTTCAACGAATCTCACCAATTAAAACATAAAACACACCACAGAAATGAGAATTGAGTATCCATATTCGATATTCAGTATTAAACAAAAAAAATTGTAATAATTGCGGAATTCCTTTTCTTTTGTATAACGCATACAAAAACCATTATAGGGACATGTTACGGTACAATTTCTAAATAAGGTTAAACATTTGTTTAGATTACACACCAATAATAATTTCATAATAATATACATATTTACTTGGAAATTTATAGTGATATTTATAATAATACTTAATTCAGATACTGGTTCGTACATCTCGAAACTAATAACTATTTTATTGCATAAACCGCGTTTCCTAAGAAATCTTTAGTTGCGAGACCCATCAACTGTTTGAATAATGGATGAAATAATCATTCTAATTAAGGTCATGATTCAATGCGCAAAATAAACTCATATAAAATCCATCTAAGGCGATTGTATGTTAATGAAAAAGACTTAACACAAGACAAACATACCGACGAAGCTGTATGACTCAACCAATCTTCAAGTAAAATTAAGCTAAAAAACAGAGACTGAAATAATTTTCGGCCAAATATGAGAACAAGTTAAAAAAACTGCAGTGTATTTATTTCTTTTTCTACGGCAATTGCTTGCTTTGCAATAAGGGTCGCTTCTGCCATGTCTTCTTATGCTGCTAAGTTGGCAGTACCAACAACGACCAATAAAAGCGGCAGCGGCAGTTATATGTAAATCTGCAACACTGCAATTAATAGCAATGAAACGCCAATATAAATGAATTGAAAGTGAAACATCCAAAAATTGATCCATCTGGAATTACTCTAAAATTCTTAACAATTAACAAACTTAAAACTTGAATCAGGCTGTAGGGGAATTATTTGTGTCTTTATGTTATACAGGGTGTGAAAGAATGCGCTGCAATTTTGTTGTATTTCATTTTATGTCAAAGGTTTTCATAAGTACCCCGTATATAGGAGTTTTTGTGAAGTTATAGATCCATAGTATGTGCAACTTGCAAGTTTTTTGCTCTAAAGACAAGTATGACAATTGACACGATTTTATTGTTTATTTTAAGTTGAATTTAAACGTATGACAAAAATTTGAAATATGAATAATACAGGGTGTCCTACTGAGGTCGGCGAGGTACGATATTAGATAAAGTATAGGCCCTAGGGCTTCGGGAAGAAAAATTGATTAATAAATCAACCAAGAGAAATCGCTGGAAATAGTTTTCAATTCCGTAGCTCGGCCACCAGAGGGCGCAATTTACATACCAAAACATAAAGTTGAATTTTTCTCAGAACTGTATCGTATTCAAGTATATTAAATAGTACAAATATGGATAGCAGAATTCAATGCGCATAACTTTTGTTATTGACATTTCTCGACAGAAAGGGTGGGGGAAGCCCCTAATGTCTGATCAGAAAAATGCATTTTTCTAAGGATTGGCTCATCAAAAGCCCATAGTGTTATACCTCGTTGGAAAGGTATTTTCATGATTTATCTCGTGGTGAACGCGTCATGTCATTTACCTCAATTTGGAAACCTATATATGGCGTTATTTTAAAAGTATGCCGTTTTATGGATTTTTCTCAAAAATTTTAAATGCAATGCTATAATTTTCTTTGCGTAAATAAATTCAGCACAAAAAATTGATGAATATAGTATAAGTTTGAAATTTCTCGCCGACATTAGTGGGACACCCTGTATATAATTCAATAATAATTAACGATAAGTTCAACTTGTAACCAGAGATTTAAAATGTAAGGAAAAATTCAGCGCCGGAAAAAAAATGTAGTCGGAGTTGTAACCACTATGTCAGTATAAATGTTATTATAGGTACTTCTATCAAAAACTAATTATTTTAATAAAAAACATCATCATCATTTCCAATTTTAGAAAAAGCTGATAAAGAATTTTAATATGTGCAAGGTGATCAAGGATATCTTGCTCTGTAATCTAAAAG